AGATCCGCCTGGCTCTGCCTCCCGAGTGCTGGGATTAAAGGCGTGCGCCACCACGCCCGGCTTGAGAAGTGACATTTTTTATTTAAAAAAAAAAAAAAAAACGCGGGGGCGCACGCCTTTAATCCCAGCACTCGGGAGGCAGAGGCAGGCGGATCTCTGTGAGTTCAAGGCCAGCCTGGGCTACAGAGTGAGTCCAGGACAGCCAGGGCTACGGAGAGAAGTATTATGTGTATGGGTGTTTGCCTGTATGCTGTGTCGCATGTGTGTGCCCTGTACCCTCAGAGGGTAGGAGAGGGCCTCGGACCCACTCGAACTGCAGTTACAGATGGTTGTGAGTTGGCACGTGGGTGCTAGGAATTGAACCTGGGTTATATGTCACAGAGAGGCAGGCTGATGTCTTTTTTGAATGTACAGTTTATTGTTCACATGTCACACTTGATGGGAAAATGAGTAACTCACAGCAAATGAATCAACAACTCAGTTGATCCATGGATATCTGGATGTCCACTCCCAGACAGTGGGGAGAGTTGGCATAAGCAGGCTGCAAGTCCTGCGCATGCCCAGGACACAGCAGGCCACGGCCTCCACTTCTAGGGGAAGGATAGTTGGAGGAGGCTTAACCAGGTTAACCAGGATGCCTGACACTCACTGGTCACCAAGGTCATAGCTGGGCAAAGGCACGGGATCCTGGTGGGAAATCTGTTCATTAAAAGTGTCCCTTGCGAGAAAAAAGTCTAAAAAAAAAAAAAAAGAAAGGGTCCCTTGTCACTTGTTATGAGTTTGTGGCTCATGTGCACTGAGGAACACTCGAGACCAGAGTCTGCCGAGCTGCCTGGAGATCATCTTTGTAGACTTGTGGTCACTCCTTCAGGTTGTTGCCGGCCTGTGGCTGCCACAGCTTTGCTGGTTACACCCAGGTGCTAACTTCTGGGCTTTTATTTTATTTTATTTTATTTTATTTTATTTTATTTTATTTTATTTTATTTTATTTTATTTTTGAAATAGGGTCTCCCTTATGTAGCCCTAGATGTCCTGGAGCTCACTATGTTGACTAGACTGGCTTTGAACTCACAGAGATCTGCCTGCCTCTGATTCTCAAGTGCTGGGATTAAAGGCGTGGACCACTACGCCTAGCTGATGCTGTCCTCTGGTGTCAGCACGTTCTGATGTCAGGACTTTGAGCAAAAGTGCCTCCATCTTTATTTTCTTTGTGTTTTAAGTGCTCACTGAGTTCCTCTGGAGGAGCAGCTAGTACTCATAACTACTGAGCCATCTCTCTACCCCAATATATTGCCTCTTTATGGGCATTCAGTGTGTGGCCTCCCCTCAGAACCTTCTAGATATGTGGTCATTAGTGGGGTTATTATTGCCCTGACACTTTCTGGCTCAGGCTTCTGCTTTGTGTTGGCGGTTTCTGGCCAGGGGCCTCAGGCTCGGCATGCCTGTGCTCACATTTCACCTCACCTCAGGCTTTCCTCTTCCTTCTCGGCCTCCAGGTGCGCTACAAGGAGGAGTTTGAGAAGAACAAGGGCAAAGGCTTCAGCGTGGTGGCGGACACACCCGAGCTGCAGAGAATCAAGAAGACCCAGGACCAGATCAGCAACGTGAGACCCCGCTCCCGGTTACCCAGGCTACCCCTGCTCTCCTCTCTCACCCTCTCCCTAGCCCCCCGGTCTTGGCTCCTCAGGGGAACCTGTGTGGTGGTGGCTTGAATAGAGGGAAGGGAGAAATTGGGGTTCCCAAGTGCCTTGTCTTTGCTCCCCCTCTTTGCAAGGCATCTGCCCAAGTGGCATTTCCTCCTTAGAGACTGCCCTGTGTGTGTGTGGTGTGTGTGTGTGTGTGTGTGTGTGTGTGTGTGTGTGTGTGTGTGTATGGGGATATTAAGTTACCTCCCACTCTCTAGAGTGGGAGGCCACCATTCACCCCTTTGGGGTGGTGGGGGTCAGTGTGCAGATTAGATGCTTGGTTTAGCATCAGGGTCAAAGCTGGGCTTGGGGGCGGGGGTTGAGCCGCTTGTCTGCGTCTGGGTGCTAACACTGCAGTCATTTCCGCCCTCCCTCGCCAGCCTCCCACCTCGGCTTGCTCTTCCTTCCTGTGTGAAAACCCAGCTGGCGTTGCCCGCTGGCCCTACACCCTCGCCAGCCCCTTCAGAGGGTGGTGAAGTGACAGCCGGGAGCTGGAGAACGGGCCTCAGTTTCCTTCTGTGCTTCTGTGCCCAGCTGTAGACTAGCAGCTTGTGTGGCTCTGACTTCCAGGGGCCTGATTTGGAGTATGTGGGAGTAGGGTGCTGCTGTGAGGGACATCACAGGACATGGGCACATGCCAGAGCACAGAGCTCTAGAACATGCCCAGTCAGCTGCAACAAGACCCCTATCAATGAAGGATGAGGCAGGCCATTGTCTTCATGTCTGTTACAGGAAAGGGTCCACCAGTTACCGGTGTCACCCTGGGCTGAGGGACTGGGGTGGAATGGATAGGACCCAGATTCAGATGGCCCACTAAGTCTCCACCCTCTAGGCTCCACATCGCTGTCTGTCCTGCCGCCCTCATTAGCTAGCTGGGCTGTGCTGGTGAGCCATAGTGGAGGGTCAGGTAGATTCCATAAACACAGGGCCAAGACGGAACCACCCCTGCCCCGGGGTAATAGCTTTCAAATTCTGCCCTCTGTCTAGAAGAAGCATTCCCTTTATTTAATGATCCATGCCTGTAATCCCTGCTCTTGGGAGGCTGAGGCAGGAGAGTGATGGATTCCAGGCCACTTGGAGGTTGAGGCACAGATCAAGAGGCTGGGCTCTCTAAGGAGACCCTGTGGGAAACAAAGAAAACTTCTTGAAAGAGAGCTGAGGATGTAGATTCGCCGCAGAGTGTTTACCCAGCATGCATCAGGCCCAGAGTGCCCTCCTCAGCATCAAAAAAAGGAAAAAAGGAAATTGCTGTCGTGAGTAAGTGCTGTGGACTTGGGGAGGTCATTCAGACATTTTCTGTTCTTGTTTCATAAACGCCAGGGACAGTCTAACCGAGTGGGTTTTGCAACCCAGTTGTTGAGCTGAAGTTTAAAATGAATGGCCTGAGGGAATGGATTGCTTCTCCCGGGCTGGAGGGTGATTCTCAGAAAGCTTCAAACCTTGTTTGCCCCCCAGGAAACCCTCTAACAGTTGCCCTGTTCCAGCCTGGGCCTGACGTACACCCTGGAGTTTCCTTTCTGGCTCAGATCACCCAAAGAGTAAAAGGGTGTGTCAGGGAACTCCCTATTTGGAAAGAAGGGAAGTGGTGTGGCCTTGGGTGATTGGGAAACCGTGGAATGGCTCCCAAGGCTGGAGTCATGTGGCTTTGTGTCTTGAGACACCTCCAGTCAATGCTGCCAACCTCTGGGACTTTCATTCATTGATTTACCCTGTGAGTTTGGGGTCTCGTAGGAGGGAAGCAAGCCCTAGACATCCCTGTGTCACTTTCTGGAAGATTTCCAGAATGTTCTGACACCCAGTCTGTTTCCCCTGCCTTCCTTCACCCTGTTATTGAACATTGGATGCATTAGTGCCTGAGGAGTTCTGGTAACAGAAACTGGCTGTGGCCAAGATATCCACACTAGAGATAGCATCTTATCAGCCACCTCAGGGCCGCAATTAGCTGATTGCCCTGGTTCTGAGCTGGGGGAGGTGCCTTGAACCTGGCCTGGGCTCCCAGAGCAACCAGATAGCCTGAGCTGGGAGCTGGCAGGTGTGACTGAATGCTGGAAGTCTTTCTCTTGGTCCTAATGAATGCTATTAAGGTCGGTCTCTGTCAGAGCCCCTCAGAGTCAGCTGGGCTCTACCTTAGTGTGCACAAGGATCCGCGGATCCGCGGGTTGAGTTTCCCCATATGTACACAAAGGGTCCCCTGCCATCATAGGGCTCTCAGTGAAAACGCAGGCGCTCTGTACCCCCAGCATTCCAGTTTGTCACCCCTGGACTGGAGCCCGAGATTCAGTGTTGTAAACCCATCCCCTGGTCTTCTGTGGTCCTCACTGAGAAAAAGTTATCACTTAAACTCAGAAGGCTTCACCAGCCCCTCAGTCAGAGGGCGCCAGACCTGGCTGTGTCCCAGAACTGAGGGAACTTTTTAACCACAGGCAGAACTGTGGCTAGGTTGTGCCAACCTCCAGCAGAACTCTGAGAAGGCGGCTGTCCAGAGCCACACTGTATTTTGGCTCCAAAATAGCATCCCTGTGTGTGGCTCGGCTTCCCAGATTAGCACCTAATGACAGGTGGTCTTTTCTGAAGGTCAGACTGTCCTGAGAGATGGAGCCTGCCTTCACCAGCCAGAGCAGTTGAAAAACCAAGTGCCTATTCTCCTGGGATGGTGATGTTTACTTGGTGATGCGCTGTCTGTCCTCAGCCCTGTGTGGGAGAGACACAGGCATTCCGGCTAGAGTGAGAGTTCCTGTCTTCCCATTCCACATCTGCTGGGCTGCTCTGAGCTTTGTTTTACTCCTCTGTAGAAGTACTAGTAGTCATGTGACTGCAAGGTGAGCGTGCCTCAGTGATGAGCATTATCAGTGGTGTTCACAGGCAGAGAAGCTTCTCTACACTGTGAGGAAAGAAGGGACGTGAAGGGCCCGCGGGTACAGCTTAGTGTCAGAATGTGGATTTAGCACGTGTGAGGCTATGAGGTCCATCTCGAGCAGAGGGAGGAAGGAGGGAGGGAGGGAATTGCCTATCTCACAATCCTGTCTTCACTGGAGGCGTGTCCTGGCGCTGTGCTGTGAGGCAAAGACTTTAAGTTTACATACCTGTTTGCTCCAGATCGCTGAGGACTTGCATGAATGAGGAATGGTTTTCCTGAAGCCTTTGGTGGGAGCCTTGCTTTTTCTTGTTCACATGTCTCTACCTCCAGCCCCAATTTTCCCTGTTTTACCCCCTTGCGAACCGAACCACACTGTGACAGGCACAGTAAACAGACAGCTCTTCTCTCACTGTGCAAATCAAGCCTAGGGTGTCAAGCCGTGGTAGAACATGTGCCTTACGTTCATGAGGTCTTGGGCCTGATGATTCAGTTTCACTTAAAGAAAAAGAAAGAAAAAAGCCAGGCGGTGGTGGCGCACACCTTTAATCCCAGCTCTCAGGAGGCAGAGGCGGGTGGGTCTCTGAGTTCGAGGCCAGCCTGGTCTACAGAGCAAGTTCCAGGGCAGCCAGGGCTACACAGAGAAACCCTGTCTCAGGTGGGGTGGGACATGAGTCTCTGATAGGAAGCCATATTACAGGGTGGTTGAGAACTAAGGCTCTTACGTTAGTAGTCGATTCTGTTGTAGCCTATTTAACCTTCAGCCTCGGTTTCCCCATCTGTGTAATGGGGACAATAACGGAATGTTATTCTTGGGCTGGGTGAGAAAAGGGAAGGAGTAATATATTAGGGCACCAAGTAGAACTTCACTCTCTCCCCCCAAAGGGTCAGGTTTATGAGAGCAAGCTGGTTATTCCATTTAAAGCTTGATATTACTGGCTAAGCCGTGACACAGCGTCATGTGGGGGCAGACGTATGGCCAGTCAGACTTTTTTCCACTGCAGTCAGGAAGCAGGTGCTTCAGAAAGCAGAACATGAACCACCAGCCTTGGAGGGACCTTACCTAGTCACACCGAAGGCCTGCCCCATAAGAAAGAGTCTTTAGGCTCCAGTCACTGAACACACATGCACGGAGACCTCGTGGTACAGTAGAGGCCTGGCTTCCTTCCATGGAGGCCCTGGACCCTGCCTCTTCTCATTTGGGCTCTTTCTCTGAGTTCGAGGCCAGCCTGGTGTGCAGAGTGAGTTCCAGGACAGCCAGGGTTAAAAACAAAAGAACAACAACAAAACCCCCCAGAACTTTGGGGAGTGCTTATTGCTCTTGCAGAGAACTTAATTTGGTTCCCAGCATCCACATGCGGGCTTACAATCACCTATAACTCCTGTTCCAGGGGATCCAGTGCCCTCTTCTGACCTCTGAAGGCACCAAGTATGTGGTACACAGACATACGTGCAGGTAAAACACACACACACACACACACACACACACACACACACACACACACACACACAAAATAATAATAATAAAAGTTAGGGGGGGAAAAAGATCTGAGTTACAGCTGGGCAGTGCTGGCGCACACCTTTAATCCCAGCACTCGGGAGGCAGAGCCAGGCGGATCTCTGTGAGTTCAAAGCCAGCCTGGTCTACAGAGCCAGATCCAGGACAGGCACCAAAACAAAACAAAAGATCTGAGTCACATGATTGGCAGGATCCTCTGGAGGATGTCGCTTTGCCTGTTTGCTTAAGACACTACTAGGTGGGCCAGGAGTAATCACGCAGCTTCCCTATTTTGCTTGGGAGGAAGTGGAAGGCAGTGGCCGGCCTGAACAGGGCCTCACTTTTCAGCCATGGTGCCCCATGCTTCCTCTCCTTGTTTGTGTATCTAGGCCCTCCCCGGGGAGGGTGGTCCTAGGATTGTCCCCCTTCTGAGGGGAATAGAGGTACGCGCAGTGTTTGGACAGGAGAAGAGCAAATGGCGACTAGGCATGTAGTCACTCTGCCCTGTGCTTGCTCTCAAGAAAAGGCCTGCCTGCCTGCCTGTCTGTCTGTCTGTCTGCCTGTCTGTCTGGGACTTTGTCCACTGTCCCAATGAAAGTTCCATCATAAAGGTCTCCAAGCCTTTCTTCCGTTTCCTCCTCTCTGAAATGGGAATGAAAGGGTGTGTCCATCTTGAACTATCACTTACTTAGTATGTGTGCTGTGGAGGTCAGAGGACAACTGGAAAGCCAGCCCCTTGCTTAGAGTTTAGGGTGACTGTTGTCAGGGTTGGGGAGATAATGTGTGGGACACTTTTGTGACATTGGTATGAAGAGCTGTGCAGATGTTAAGGTTGTCGATATATTTTTGTTGGGTTTTTTTTTGGTTGGTTTTTTGTTTTTTCAAGACAGAATTTCTCTGTGTAGCCCTGGCTGTCCTAGAACTTGCTCTGTAGGCCAGGCTGGCCTCAAACTCAGAGATCCCCCTGCCTCTGCTGGGATTAAAGGCTGCCTGGCCTGTCGATAATTCATGGACGGTGGCAAGTGGCGTCTGTGGGTCAAGGGAGGATGAGGATATCTTGTGTTCAGGCTATCACTATTCAAGATGCCTGAATCTTTGGGGTCTAATTTTATACACATCTTCCCTTGGGTAGTAACTTTGATTGTCTGTCTGTCTGTCTGTCAGCAGGGTCTTGCCGTGTAGCCCTGTCGGGTTCAGCGCTCACTCTCTAGACCAGACTGGCCTTCACAGTTTGTGGCATCCTCCTGCTTCTGCCTCCTGAGTACTGGGTTTGTAAGCATTTGTCATCGTGCCTGGCTACGCGAAATGACTTCTAAGTAGAATGGCGGGTGGAGCTAGTGTGGAAATACACCTGTCCACACGCCTGCCTTGGGAACTGACGGGATAGGTGTTACCGTGGCCTTGCTTACAGAGGAGGAAATGAGGCATTAGTAAACAAGGCAGGTTGCCTGTCTTTCAAGAATGAGTTATGGGCGGGGCCTGGTGGGCCCTGAGCCTGTAGGACAGTGACGGGGCCCTTTGTCCCCCAAGAACCCTTGTGGAGGAGGAGTGTGGGCCCCACATGCACTTTTTAAAGCTTCCTTTCACCCCATCTTTGATGTAGAGCCCCACTCAGGGAAGGGCTCACATTCAGGGTCACCTGGCTCTGCAGCTGGACACCCAGGGCTGGATGCAGACCTGTTCCCTCCTCTTCCTCGCTTCCTTTCTTGGTTATTGGCCATGGAGCAGGGTCCTTAAGGAACTGGAGCTGGAGAGGTCCCCCTTTACCCTGTGTCTGTGCATGCCTCACGCCTGGGTACCCTTCCAGGTGGTATTAGGGGTTTACCCTGTGGAGTTTTTAGTCCAGCCAGAGCCGGCTGCCTTATCTCAGACCGTTTCACCATTTGAATGTGTGTCCCGGCTTGGTCATGACGGAGGAAGGGAGAGGTCTTGGTCTCTCCCCAGACTCTGCGAGTCAGCTCTCTGCGGCATCTAGTGGACGCTGCTCCCACACTCCATCCCCTGCCGGCCTGTCAGCCCACACTGCAGTGTAACCTTATTTAGCCAGTGGTTGTGACCCAGGTGTCCCCAGGTGGCCACGGCTCTCTGCCTCTTTCTGACCGTGCACAGAGAATGCTCAGAGAGAAAGCGCGGGCAGCAGAGACAGCGCGGGGCGTGGATGGCCAAAGCCCTCATCACCACGGCTCGGCTTCTTTCTTTTCTGTTCTAGGAAAATGAGCAGGCTCTGCCCAGCTCCCTACTGCTCCCTTCCACTGCCCCCCTCCAGGGTTAGGAGAGGGCGGGGTCCTGTAGACAATCGAGAAACAGCCTTCCAGGCAGGGGCTGCAGCCTGCCTAGGATGGGACAGCCACCACTGTTCTCTCAGGGTTGGGAGCAGCCCTTCAGCGTGTGTCTGCCTCCTTCCTTCTGCCCAAACCCTGGCCCCTCTCCTTTCCCTTCTTGACCTCCCCACCAGTGGGAGAGCAGGGAGGAGACCTCGCTGAGGCCCTTCAAGGTGGGAGGAGAGGATGTGTCCCACGAGGGTGCAGGAAGGACACTGAGAACCTCTGGCCTGCTGCTTCTCTGTCTCATATTTTGTGGATCACTTTTTTTTTTGCACACTTTACAATATACATTCTGTATTTGTATAGTGATGTTTCTGTGTCGTCATTAAGGTAGTGTGTGCTTTGCGAGGGTTGTGCTAAAGTCACTCGAGGGAGTATTCGTCGGCCTTTTGTCACGCCCAGCGGCTGGCACAGTCACTGTGTCACATGTTGGTCCTATAAAATGAGCAGCCTGTGGTAGTAACTGAGCCTGGGCACAGGGCCTGGCCATAGCAAGGACCAGTTAACAGGAGCGGCTGTGGTGGATAGGATTGACCATAGTGGGAGCTGGAAAGGTTCAGCCCCTACCGCATGCTCATACAAGGGGAGCTCTCCCTCCTCCGTCTCCTAGTCTGTGTGGCCAAGGATGATCTTGAACTTTGTGTCTGCTTGTTTTGAGACAGAGTCTCACTAGACAGTCCTGGTTAGCCTGGAACTGGTTATGTAAACCAGGCCGGCATCAAACTAAGATCCCCCTGTCTCTGCCTCCCAAGTGCTGCTATTAAAGGTGTACCATGCCTGATTCTGTGCAGCATGTGGGGCTTTGTGCATACTATACTAGACCAAGCGCTTCATCAACTGAACTGTAGAACCAGCCCTCAAGACACACAGCCAGTCCTTGCATGGACTTTTCATGGCTGTTCTCATTGTACCCTGCAGTCACTCAGCATCCACATCTGATGATCCTTTTTAAGAGGTTTACTAAGCCAGGAAGCAGGTGAACATCTGGTGAGTTCCAGGGCCGCCTGGTCTATGTGGGGAGACTTTATTTCAAAAAAAGAAAGATTGGTTTTAGCTGAGGCTTGTCGTGGTTAAGTTACTAAGACAGCTGGTACTCTTTGTGTAGCTCTCCAGGGTGTGTGTGTGTGTGTGTGTCTGTCTGTCTGTCTGTCTGTCTCACTGTGTTGCTCAGGCTGGCCTTGAGTTCCCAGCTCCTCCCTCCTGCCTCAGCGGCCAGGAGGGCAGGCGCCAGACCCAGCTTGAGTGGCGGTGGGAGCGGGCTGGTTTGAATGGCGATGGGGGCGGGCTGGTTTGAGTGGCGATGATGGGGGCTGGTTTGAGTGGCGGTGGGAGCGGGCTGGTTTGAGTGGCGGTGGGAGCCGGCTGGTGGGCTTGCCACGGAGCCCTTCCTTCACCCATTCCTTCTGCACTGCAGATCAAATACCATGAGGAGTTTGAGAAGAGCCGCATGGGGCCCAGTGGAGGTGACGGTGTGGAGCCAGAGCGCCGAGAACCCCAGGACAGCAGCAGCTACCGGAGGCCACCAGAGCAGCAACAACCACAGCCTCACCACATCCCGACCGGTGCCCCAGGTGAGTAGTGCTCGCCTGGGCGCTGGGGAGGGCAGGAGGGTGGGGCAGTGAGAAAGTGGCTGCTTACACAGTGGGAGGAGCATACGGCCCCCAGGAAGGTCCAAGACACCAAGGGCACACCTAGCCATAAGCCTTTGTGGGGGGGGGGGTAGCTGTGCAAGGCTGGGGTGGGCTTGAAAATTCGCGCCTTTGGGGAGTGGGCTTGGCCTGACGCTGTCTGAGTCCTGCCGCTTCCATCTTCTAGTTTACCAGCAGACTCAGCAGCAGCAGCTGACTCAGTCCTACGGTGGCTACAAGGAGCCTGCAGCCCCCGTCTCCATACAGCGTAGTGCCCCAGGTGGCGGCGGGGTGAGTATCTGTCCGGAAATGAGACCCTGGGGTGAGCGGTCCCAGCTGTATGCACCTGTGTGGGGGCGCACGCACAAAGATAAACACTAAGTGGTAGAGCACTTCCTAATATGCATGGGACTTTGGGGGGTCTGTTCCCAGGACCGTATCCCTTTCCCCGCCAGAAAACAATAATGTGCTACCAGCTTTTGTGTCCCAGGGTAGGCAGGAGGCAGCCTTTTGGTGCCGTCTTGAGCCAGGCCTATGGGAGGACGCATGAGGTTTTTCTGGGTGAGAAAATGAGCAGCAGAAAGAGCTGGCAGTCGTTGGTGTGAACATGCTGGCCGTGACGTTCTAGGATGCGTCCCACTAGGGTGCACTAGGCTGATCTCCATGTCGGAGTGGGAGAGAAATAAAATAGCCCGGGATAGGTGACACCAGGAGGCTGTGTGGAGGATAAGGTAGTGGGTGGTCTGTAGTATGCAGACAGCAGAGACAAGCGCTAACATCTCCCGACAGTCCTTACTAGAGTAGAGGAGTGAAATGGTCCCGGGGGAAGAAACAGCAGGTGCGAAGGCCCTGTGGCAGGACATCCTTGGGAGGGTCAGGATCCTGCAGGAAGGTACAGGTTCCTGGAGAAAGGAAAAGGAAGTAGATGAGGTCAGGCCCTTTTGGGACTTTGGAGGCCAGGGGGAAGCCTTTGGGACCAGTGTATTTGACTTTCGCTTTATGAAACTCACCCTGGCAGTTGGGTGTGGGTGTAATCTCAGCACTTGGGAGTGGGAGGCAGGAGAATTACTGTAAGTTCAAGACTAGCTTGGCTGCATAGCTAGACCTTGTTTCAAATGTTTGCTTGTTTGTTTTAAAGAAAGAAAAGACAGTTCCCCCTGGTGCCTGTGTGGGGAAAGATGCCATAGCAGACTGAGGAGGTGGGGGTGTTGGGAGGTCGTATAAAGCATAGCCTTAGTCTGCAGGAGGCAGCTTGGCTTGGAGAGAAGGACAGTCAGTAGACACACCAGGATCTGTTGGCATGTCGCGACAGGTTTGGAAGGTAGATGCTCTTAGCCTTTTGTCCCCCATTTGGGACTGACGTCAGACTAACAATGGTTTCAAAAAGGAGACAGTGGTACTAATAGCCCCTCAGATAATAGTGACTAGGCTGTACCTCTTTTTTTTGTTTTGTGGTGTTGAGAATCAAACCCAAGACCCAAGCATACCAGGGATTTTATTTAAGACAACTACCTAGTCCAGGCTGGCCTTGAACTCAGGATCCTCCTGTCTCAGTCTCGTGAAGGCTGAGTTAAAAATCCTATTTCACCACGCCCAGTATGGCCTATCACATTTTATTTTATTCTTGGTTTTTTGAGACAAGTTTTGTCTGTGTAGCTTTGGCTGTCCTGGATCTTGCTCCTTAGACTCGAACTCACAGAGATCCACCTGCCTCTGCCTGCTGAGTTCTGGATTAAAGGCGTGCGCCACCGCCGCCAGTCATATCACATTTTAAAACCATTATCTTAATGCTGAGTCTATGGGACTTTCCTGCTGACCTGTGCAAGGAAAACAGGTATAAGAAACTCCATAGCAAAGCCCATCCCTAGTCCCCATCCCCCTCCTAAGGTCTCTGAGAGGTAGAGAGAACCATGGGGCCTGAGAGTCGCTTGGCGGAGCACTTGCCTGGCCCAGGTGAAGAAGGTCTGGGTATGGGGGAGCCTACATCGAATACCCAGGCTGACTGTTGCCTGTGCTTCCCAGAAACGGTACCGTGCAGTGTACGACTACAGTGCTGCTGACGAGGACGAGGTCTCCTTCCAGGATGGGGACACCATCGTCAACGTGCAGCAGATCGACGATGGCTGGATGTATGGGACCGTGGAGCGCACCGGTGACACAGGGATGCTACCGGCCAACTATGTGGAGGCCATCTGAGCCTGTGCCGTCCACCCTCCGTCTTCAATGCATTCCATGGCATCACATCTGTCCTGGGGCCTGACCCATCCACCCTTCCGTGTCTCTGTCTTTTAAGATCCGCCGCCGCCGCCGCTGCTTCTTTATCCCCGCCCCTCCTCCAGCTTCTTTTGCCAACCCCGGCCTTGTTCTGCCACTGTCTCGGGCTCCTTCCTCCGGCAGGTTTTCCCTTGGACCAACCCGACTGATTGATTTTTCTTCCTGGATGGAACAGGCTGGGCACTCTGGGGAGGGTGGGCTCACGGGGCTGAGCTGAAATGGGAGACCCATTAAAGAGATCAGAGAGTCCAGGCATGGTGGCACACACCTTTAATCCCCGCACTCGGGAGGCAGAGACAAGCAAAACAGTTCTCTGAATTCAGGGCCAGCCTGGTCTACATCATGAGTTCCAGGACAGCCAGAGAGAGCTATGTGGTGAGACCCTGTCTGGGGGAGGGGAGGATTGTTAGCTCCCAGCCTCACTTCCTGCCGTAGGCCCTTCAGAACCCCTGGCCTAGCTCCTCTGACACCCTGTATCCTAGGGCTGGGGTGAGCCCCATGCTCCTCCTACCGCCAGGTGGGGTTCCACACATTTTTGGGGGGAGTGGGAGGGATACCGAGGCCTCAGTTATGTCGGGACCAATGTGACGAGTTTCCCTTTCCGCTAGCCCGCCCTCCTGACCCTGTGTGTGTCCCTTCACACACCGAGTGTGCCGTCCTGCCTACGCAAACCCGGGGTGGCCGCAGAGCTCCTCGGGAAGCACAGCTCGGGTCAAGTTCTTGCCTTGGTTCTGAGGGCGGCGGCAGCAGGAAGGAGGAACAGGGTGTTCTCCCCAGGCCTGTGTCGTTCCACCCCCCAGCCTCCAGGGACTCTCTTTATCTCCCTGGCTGGGATCCTGCTGTGAAGGGTAGAGCAAGGGATGCCTTTGGGACTTGAGTTAACTGAGCTGTTCCTTCCTGCTCCCCTGGGAAGAGGTCTCTGCGTCTCCTATGGCCTTCCCTCCCTGGAACAAGGCTGGATGGGGCTTAGAGCTCTGTGAACAGTCTCCTGGACACACAGGAGGCCTCAGCCTTTTGCTCACTCTCTGGGGAGGTGGGAGAAGGCTTTTCCTGTCCTTGTGTCTGAGGTGACAGAGTACGGTAGGACCAAGTCACCCCCACTGTGGCACCTCCCTCAAGGCTCTCCTGTCCTTGAAACAAGGGAGCGAGTCCGGGATGCCAAAGCTGGCGGCACCATCTCTGGACCGGTGCTAAATTCAGGTTCCTCCTTTGCACCCGGGGCCTGGGACAGCCCTCACGCGGCTCCATTCATCTCTGGGTTTTCTTGTCAGCTCTCCTGGGTCCTCTGACTCTCGTCTTGACTCTGAGTCTTGTATCAGGCCCCTTTGCACACAGACCCTACTGCAGGTCAGGCTTGAACCTGAAGGCACTGGTCAGGTCGGCGATGCGGTCAGTAGTCCAGACCAGCCTTGCTGGATTAGCGAGTAACCACCCTCCTGCTTGGTCAGTCCCCTCCGACCCTGACCTGGGCCATGGCAAGTAGGAGCAGTATGGGGAGAACTTTGTGGAAACGTTTTAGGAGCCCCTGGGGAGGCACCAGTCCATTCCATTTCCTCTTCATCTCAAAGCACAATGCGGTTCTGGGGACCAGAGGTCAGGGACTCTTGCTCTTGGAGGGCCTGTGCTTGGGAGGTGCCCCAGCCTGATTGCAGTCAGCTGAACCTCCCTTCCCAACATAGGAGCCAGCTGCTCCTCTACCACCCTAGAAATGGGGGAGGCCTTCACACACCTGCAGAGGCAAAAGGAACTATCCATTGGTGCTGAGGGCCCCAGCTGGAGTCCATATTCTTTTTCTAGAAGCATCCACTTCTAGAAGAGCACAGGATCCCCAAGCCCGTGATCTCTTCATAAAGGTCTTTCAGCCAATCAAAACCCAGGAAAAAAAGCACCTTGGCTAGACTGTGAACTTAACTTTTGTGGGCCAATCCTGCAATGCAAGAAGCCCCGTGGTGAGGACATGAATTCTCCCCAGACTGCTTCCTGTTTTCCGCCCTCGTGTCCCTCCAGGGAACATTTTTATTTGTTAATAGCTGGACACAAGACAAAAAGTACCACCCCACAAAAGCCTGTATTTAAAAGGAAACAGAAGTGGCCCTGTGAAATTCGCCTCTGTCCGACATTTCATCTGTGTGTGTGTGTGTGTGTGTGTGTGTGTGTGTGTGTGTAGCCACCCACTCATCTTTTATATGGGGTTGTCAACTTTCTTTGATCTGTTCGGTCCCCTCCCTCCTGGCCTTGCGCTCGGGATCAGTTCTTTCTGGCCTGTTATGAATCTGAACATTGACTTGAACCACAAAGTGAATCTTTATCCTGGTGACGCAAATAAAAGTCTAATTTTTACCTGCGGACTGCGCTTCCTCTTTGGCTCTGAAGTAACTTCTGTGTGTGTCATGTCTGCCAGCGGGCATTGACAGTGAGCTCAGTTACCCCCCAAAGAGAGGACTGACCCAGAAACCAAAGGGTAGCTGGTTCTTCATGATGCCTGCTTCTTCCTTGAGGACATACCTCAGCCCTCCAGTGGCTTCCAAGAGTGACAGTTCTGCCCAGCCTGGGGTTCTGTTCCATGGCATTCCCTGAATTCTGAGGCTCCCCTTCTTCCATTAAGCATCTTCCTCCCTCCTAGCCAAGGGACTCGGGGACTGTCATGGGTCTCATTCAAGTTCCTGGTCTTGTCGGGGTGTGGCTGGCACACCCTTTAATCCCAGCACTTGGGAGGCAGAGGCAGGTGGAACTCTGTGAGTTCGAGGCCAGCCTAGGCTACAGAGTGAGTTCCAGGACAGCCAGGGCTACACGAGAAACCGTCTCAAAAATCCAAAGAAAAAAAAAGAAGTTCCCGGTCTTTGGCTATGGGCAGGCTGCTTTACAGATTTTCAACCCAGCCAGTGAGCTCAGCCCAAGCTTGCTGTACCCCAGTGTGTACCACTGCCATGTTTGAATTGTAAAATGATAACAATTAGGACAGCCACAGTGCCACGGAGCCTGGATAAACCCACCATAGGGTGGCCTGACAGGCAACTCAAGGCAGACTTCCCACTTTCCTGTCTCATCTCCTCCCAGCCCTGTGATGGCTTGTCCCCAGCCAGCCTCTGTTCAGTGGGCCTGGGAAGGGACCTGTGGTAGGCAAAAGGCACTCCTGGACCCTGGACCCTGGCTGCTGGTCACCAGCTACCTGCCTGGAGGCTTGGTGGAGAGGAGCATTTTACCATTGGGGCTACACAGGAAGTGTTCTCTGGCCCCAGGGGAGCAGCAAGTGAGTGGCAAAGTAATCAGAATGGCAGGCTGAACCCAGCGGAACAGGAGTGAGTGTGAGGAGTGCTCCGGGTGTGGGGAGTGCTCCAGGTGCGGGGAGTGCTCCGGGTGCGGGGAGTGCTCCAGGTGCGGGGAGTGCTCCGGGTGCGGGGAGTGCTCTGGGTGCGGAGAGTGCTCCGGGTGTGGGGAGTGCTCCGGGTGCGGGGAGTGCTCCAGGTGCGGGGAGTGCTCCGGGTGTGGAGAGTGCTCCGGGTGTGGGGAGTGCTCCAGGTGCGGGGAGTTCCAGGTCCAGCAGGTCCTGCTGTACCCCCACAAGGAGCTGGCTGGCACCTTATAGTGCCCAACAGCATCAGGAGATCCTGCTCAGCTGGTGTTGATACACCTTGCTGGAACTGTCGCTTGTCACCTGCTGGACTGCCTGCTCAAGGAAGGCTCCTCTTCTGGGAGTGGCCTAAGTTCCTGAGGCCTCGTGTTAGAAGGGGGTTACTAATATCTCAAGGCTTGGGCCCTTCAAATAAATTATTTGGAGTGATGCTAAAGGATGCTAGACCTCAGACTTGGACTACAGGATTTTTCTTCCTTTTAATAGTAAGTAGTTGGTGCATGCACAGCAGAAGTCAACAAAATATCTCAGTGGGGAAGCATGAGTTTTTAACGTTATTATTTATTGTGCATGCTTGTGCAAGTATGTATGTGTTTACACCACAGGGCACGTGTGACACCCCAGGAGTGTTTATGGGAGTCAGTTCTGTCTGTCCACCATGTCGGGCCCAGGGCTTGAACTCAGGTCGTCAGATTTTATGCAAGGCACTTTGACTCTCTGAGCCCTGTTATGGGGCCTCATATCACTGACTTTGAATAAGACATCCATCTTGGCTCCCTCAGGAGAAACCACTTGGAAGCTGACTGGAGGTCGAGAGGTAGAGGCAGGGGACTCCAATCAAGGCCAGCCTGGGCTACAAGTGACTTTCTCAAAAGAAAATAATGAAAGAAAAACAACAAAAAGAAAAAAAAAACACTTAAATTTGCATTTCTAGACACTATCTACCCAGGAGTGGGTGTGTAGGTCCTCAGTCTTCTCTGAGGATGGCACTGGGCTAAACTCTCTGAGGAGACAAAGCGGGTATGGGTAAGGACAGAACAGAAAGGGTGGAGGAGAGACCTCAGGTCTCCCAGACCAACAAGGCAAGCCAGTGTGAGGTGGACTCAAAAAGAACATGGAATTAGGCCAGGCAGTTGTGGTGCGTGCCTCTAATTAAAATCCCAGCACTCAGGAGGATCTACAAATCGAATTCCAGGACAGCCAAGGACTGCTAAACAGAGAACCCCTGTCTTGAAAAAACAAAAAAGAAAAAGAATATGGGTTTGGCAATGTGAGAGCCTTGCTCTGAGTCCTGCCCACAGATGACAAGCTGTGAAATACTGTAAGGCAGGCTCCTGACCACCTCTGAGCCCAGGCTATAGCAGACTTCAGACAGGTTGAAATCACCCCGTGCAATACCTGGCAAGCGTAAAACTTGTGTCCATGCCAGGGATGCCCGAGACCACATGAGACCTTCATCCGTGTTCCCCTTTGAACTAGCCGAGGACCCACACAACTGGTAACAATTAGTTTCCTGAGATAAATTGCCAGAGGTGTGAGAGGAAGGAAGAGGAGGGCGGGCAGGAGAATCCGTTCCTGAGGGGTCGGTAGAGATGCTCCACTCACACCTCCCGGGGCAGCCCACTCAGTGCAGAAACCGTACCTAAATACAGAGTGCGGTTCCACACAAAGGGGCGGGGCTGGCTTCCTGGGAAGAAATTGAACCTCTCTGGTTTTGCCTGGTCTAAAAGTGGCTGTTCCCTGGTTACCCACCGTGGGCTTTGTGATTGGCTGACTGTGATGACGGAGGTGGAGAGTAAGCTGCTGATGGAGTTGCAGCATCCCTTAGCCTCAGGTCCCCCGGAGGGGGAGGGAACAGGAAGCGGGAGGGAATAGCAGCCATTTCTCTGCACTGACCGATCTCCACGCTTGCAGCTCCCACCCATTTCCCCGGAATCCAGGCGACTCCCGCGCTTAGTGTTGCGCCATGCTGGATATTTTCATCCTCATGTTCTTTGCCATCATAGGCCTGGTGGTTCTGTCCTACATTATCTATCTGCTCTAGTGGCCTGGAGCGGCCGGGGCTGCGAGGGGAAGGATGGAGCTGAAGCGCCGAGCATCCTGCTTGCTGACGCACCGGTGGATTTTTGCTTCGGGTCATTATTCGGGTATTGATTCAAAAAACAAAATGAAAAGAGAGCTTGTTTTTGTATCTATTTCTCAGACACATTGACGTAGCATTTCTTGGATCAATCTGAAAAGAACAAGAAAGGCAAGGTTTCTTTGGGAACCAATTTAAAATGTGATTTCTTAAAAATAAACTTCACAATGCACTGGGCTTTAGATGGAGGGGAGGGGAGGGATGTATGTGGTGGCGAGGGACTATCATATCCTAATTTCTTTTTCCAGGTAGATGCAAAACCAAGTCGTACGTTTTCTACTGGCGATGACTACAGTACATCCTTATGTATGGGGCAGGGTGGTTTCCAAATCTGCTAGCATAACTGCAGTCATTAATTCACTACTGCTGGCACAACTGCATTCATTAACTCACTAGTGACTCATTCCCACTTGAGAAAAATAGCAAATGAAGTTTACTTGGGGTAAGGTCTGGAGGAGGTGCCCACTTTCCCCAGCTCTGGAATTTGGCGTGGAGGAGTGGGGAGGCCGCTCAGATCTCTCCATAGTTCCTGACCAGTAGAGGTACCTGTCTGCAGTTCCCAGCTGAGCACTTTGTTTCTGGGTTCCCCACAGCTCCGGTGTCCCGTCCAGCAAGACGGCTCTGCCCAAAAGCAGGAGTCCGGAGGCCCAACTGACTTCTTCCAATGTGTCCGGATGTGGCTAACCCTTGGCAAGCAGGGGCTCTGTGAGGCAGAGGCACTCCTGGGGACATCAGGAGTTCAAGGATGCCTGGCAGCTGCTGCATGTGTTTAAGCTGTAGACAGGGTGTATTGAAAATGTGGAAGGTTGAAATGTAGAATCAGTAAAGTCACAGTGGAGAGCTGCTCAAATGTTCATACGGGCAGCCTTTCCCTGGGTCTAAATGCAACTGCACACGATGCCAACATTCTTTCCTTTCTGTTTCACGAGCAGGCGTACCCTTGTGGACTCAAGGGCAAATTCAGCTTCTCTGTCTCTTCAGTGTCTTTATAGACCATACGGTCTGAGTTGTGCGGATTCCCTTGATCTGCAGCCTCCCCGCAAAAAACCCTGCCATTTGCATTCTTAAGATTTATTATTTCTTCCCTCCTTATCCCATTTGTCCCCAGCTTCTTATTTGATGAGAGATATGGTTGTGAAGTTCTTATTCTTTGTGCCTACCTATAAAGCATTGAAACAAAATGTCTATATTAATTTAGGAAAATAAATTTTACCTCTAAGGGAGGGGTTTTAAAACATTTTTTTGATTGTTAAATGTTCCTTTTGTTTAAAAACAAAACTGTTTTCATATTTCCTTGACCAGTTAGGGTTGGGCAAAAACAAACAAACAAACAAACATGTTTTAGGATACAGAGTGGATTTGGCCTGAATCTGGGGTGTCTGTTATTCCCTTGGAGAGAGACACCATCATAACTGTTCTACACTGATTTTCTTTTCTAGCTTAAAAATAAACAAGGAAAAAGAAGGAATTAATAGTTTTTTGTAATGCTATTCTGTCCAATTGCTGTATTTATTTATTTGGGTTCTTGAGACAGGGTTTCCTCTATATAGCTCTGTGTGTCCTAGAACTGGCTCTGTAGACCAGGCTGGCCTCAAACTCACAGCTGGAGAGATGGCTCTTTAGTTAAGAGCACTGGATGCCCTTCGAGAGGAATGGGGTTCAATTCCCAGCAACCACATGGTAGCTCACAACTGTCTGTAACTCTAAGATCTGACACCCTCATACAGACATACATGCAGGCAAAACACCAATGTACGAAAAATTTAAAAATAGCCGGGCTGTGATGGTGCACACCTTTAATCTCAGCACTCAGGAGGCAGACGTAGGCGGATCTCTGTGAGTTTGAGGCCAGCCTGGTCTACAGAGTGAGTTCCAAGACAGCTAGAACTGTTACACAGAGAAACACTATCTTAATATAAATAAATAAATAGAGGGAGGGAGAGAGAGAGATTGAAGATTGTGTCATTTATGTCACAAGTTTGCATCTTAAGTGGCTTCCTAGACAAGCCTGCATGTGGTGGTAAACCTGTAGTCCCCAAGGTAAGAAAGGAGGACTATGTGGGCAGCTAAGGAAGACCTCACCTCTTCATATTCTTTATTTTTGCAGTGCTCAGGATTGAACCCAGGGCCTCATCCATTCCAGTCAAGCACTCTACCGCTCCACTAACTCCAGCCCATTCCCCTCACATCTTACAAATAATAATGACAAAATGCAGACAAGAAATGCTGTTGTCTTGTTAACAGAATAAATGGCCTTCTGTACGACATTTAAACTTTAGGGCTTTCGTTTGTTCCTAGACTGGAAAAGATGTCCTATCCCTTCCCATGTTAAAATTCTAAGACTCACAGTCAGATGAGGTGCCGCATGGCTCTGGTCCCAGCTCTCGGGAGGCAAAGGTGGGCAGACCTCTGAGTTGAAGCCAGCCTGGTCTACAGAGTTAGTTCCAGGACAGCCAAGGTTACACCGAGAAACCCTGTCTTAAATCCTAGCACTTGGGAAACAGAGGCAGACGGATTTCAGTGAGTTCGAGGCCAGCCTGGTCTACAAAGCAAGTTCCAGGATAGCCAGGGCTGTTTAACAAAGAAACCCTGTCTTGAAAAACAAAAAAAACAAAAACAAACAAACAAAAAAAAACCACATATCTAAAACTCTTGTCTAATCTTTGGAAATGAGATGTCTAAAAGCAGAATCCCTAGACAATTTTAGTAATTTACCACACTCTCTCATCCTTCCCCAAATGGCTTTGTTCCAGGTAGGGTCTTGCTATGGAGCCCAGGCTGGCCTCAAACTCAGTCCTCCTGCCTCAGCCTCCTGGGTGCTGAAATTAAAAGGTGTGTGCCCACCCTAACACAATACCTAATAATGAAAATTCAACTGCAAGATAAATTTGAGGAGAAAATGTGTTTATTTACTGCAAATATTATTTGGGCTAATTTGCCTGTGGTGTTAGCACATTAATAAAATACTATGTGACAATGTGGACCTAAGACAAGTAATCCACAGATTCACTAATGTAAAAAGCAAGGCCTCGAACACTGATATATTAGGAGTGATCTTCAGGGGCACATTACACTCTCAAGTATTTCTCTGACTTCAGCACAATCTTACCATTTCAAACTCCAATTCCTCGCTCCCTTCTCCTTCCTCCCTCCCTCCCTCCCTCCCTTCCTCCGTCTCTCCCCACTCCCTTCCTTCTCTAATTTTTTTCTTGAGATAGGGGTTTGTGTGTGTGTGTGGGTGTCTTCTTATGTAGCCCAGGCTGGCTCAAACTTGAAATCCTAGCAGCCTCCACTTCCCAAGAGCTAGCATTACAGGCCTGAACCACCATGCTTAGCCCAAACTACAATTTTCTACCAAGACAGCAGTTCTGTACCCTTAGCTAAGCAAGTATCAAGACTGAAAGGAATCCAAAGTACAGAGTTAATTATGGTGGCTCAATCTTTATGGTGTAGTCTCTAATCAGGCTCACTCTGAAGTTTTATGAAACAAGTTCTTCAGTCTGTACCCATATAGAATTGAAACACCTTGTCAGTAATTCAGTGAGAGGGCAGAGGCTGATCTCAGTTATAGGTCAGGTCCATAAGCCGCTAGACATGGGCACAACATAAAAACAGAAAGATTACCCTGTACTTTTTAAAAATTTTATCTTGTATGTATGTGTTGCACACCTGAGTTTATGTCTATGCACCATGTTCCTGCAGGAGCCAGGGAGGTCAGAAGAGGGTGTCAGATACCCTGGAATTGGAGTACAGATGGTTGGTTGTAAGCTACCATATAGGTGCTGGGAACTGACTGAATCTGGATCCTCTGGAAGAGCAGTAGATGCCCTTAACCATGGGACCATCTCTCCAGCCCTAGACTAGCCTTTTTTCTTTCTTCCTTTCTTTCTTTTCCCTTTAAGACAGGGTTTCTCTTTATAGTTTTGGTGCCTGTCCTGGATCTCACTCTGTAGACCAGGCTGGCCTCCAACTCACAGAGATGTGCCTGCCTCTGCCTTACGAGTGCTAGGATTAAAGGCGTGTGCCACCACCGCCTGGCCTTAGACTAGCCTTTTTAAAAATGCTTTTTATAAAATAAAACATCTGCTGAGCGGTGGTGGCGCACACCTTTAATCCTAGCACTCAGGAGGCAAAGCCAGGCGGATCTCTGTGAGTTCGAGGCTAGCCTGGGCTACCAAGTGAGTCCCAGGAAAGGTGCAAAGCTACACAGAGAAACCCTGTCTTGAAAAACAAACAAAAAATAAATAAAAAATAAAATAAAATAAAACATCATAATTA